TAAACTTCTATTTTAGTAATCTATAAACAAAATCAGTAGTATCCTGATTTCTTCCCTGCTGGGATGCATAAAACCCGGACTGTAGTTCTTCTTATTTTTGACCGCGGGAAAAGCTCTCGCTAATTCAGCTTTTGAGCTGCGCAAATCCGCTGTGGCTGTATTTTGCACCAACAACGAACCACAAATATCGAATACCAATCTTATTCTTCCTGAGAGCGACTTTTTAAGTAGCACATGACAGATTACTTGGGATTTCAAGTAACTGTATGTTGTTATCTATACACTCTATAAACTCTGCAACGTTCTCCGACCTTGAAAAGTACATTTCAGGTAGAAACCGTATTTCCACCTACATTACCTAACCCAGAATTAAATATGTCTGGTATGCTATTGTGACATAGCCATCCTGTGATGACCATGTGTCGTGCCGGTTCCAAGTGTAAGCTAGAGGTGTGGGATTATCAAATGATGAGACATAATAATTTTAATACAACTTTATTAAGATTAACTTATATTACTTAAATTCTAATTTGACAATTTTAATTAAAAGTGAGAGTCAAGCCCAAATTAAATCACGTATTTAAGTCAGATCACGCAACTAGATCCTTTATCCCAATTATCATTAATAATCCTATTCATCTAATTACTTATATCCAATATTACCTTTTTGCAGATTTCCTTCCTTTTACCAAAAGAGATATTATATATCTTTCTGCTTCTTATATATGAAGACCTAACTTCTTATATATAGGATTTCATTCCTCTTAAAAGCTATCGGACCACTAATTCTTGATCTGCAGATTTCACACTAAGCTTTGTTACGCTATCGATCAGAATGCTTCCACAATACTATCTCTGAGCCTGCTGCGCTATATCTTAGGGCTTGCCACTGCCATATCTAAAGCTTGCCACACTATATCTGCTTTTGCCACACTATATCCTATCATCAAAGCTTCTATCCTTTTATAGTAAATCTCATTTGCATAATATCTTTGTTTATCTTCTTGGTATTGGGTTGGAAAAGTTTTGCCATTAATCGTGGCCGTCAAAGAACAGGAGTTATGTTAACAGAAAGACGCGAGAGACGTCACAGTAGGAACCGTAACTAAGTTTTAAGATTTCGAAAACGAAAAAATTAGTACTGTCTTAAATATTCTAACTATGAGTGTATGAGAACTAATTGAATCCTTAAAACTCAATGATGTTCCAGAAAAACTTGAAAAAAGAATGTTTTTTTTTCACATAGGAGTTTTAATTTTCTTATTATGTTTTCTTTTGTGTTCTGAAGAAAGTAAATTAGTGTTGGGCACGACTCTGTGCTTGGGATAGCCTTGAATATAAGATGTAAGGAATTTGAGGAATTGTTAGATATATTGAAACATTTCGGTGTGACTACTGGTGTATTAACATTAAAAAGTTTTGCAGAACTTAATGAAATTTGAGTAACAGAATCTAAACGACTTTCTCTGTCAGTGGCAAAAGTTGCCCGGAAGAAATATATACAGTCGAGTCTCTATATTGCGACTTTTTCTATATAGCGAACTTTTTCCTGGAACCTTGAAAATTCACGGTTTTCTTCGTTAAATAACCTTTTTATAGCGAAGGGTTTTTTTTATACGACCAACTGTTTCCTTAGGGATTCAGTTTTTGTTCTCCCTATTTTTAAAGTATTTCTGAATATTTCAAGTTATTCTTATCTTAACACATTTTATGGTGGTCATAAATCTTGAACTGGTTTTATTAGCCCCTAACTCTCCGAGAGCAATAGAGTTCTGGACGTTTCCTCCAAAAAGTGAAACCTTTAACCCCCATTGTCCAGTTTACTAGAAACATTTTCGATATCCCCTTTGAAACTCAGTGGATTTGTCCCGTGTCCTCATGTTCTAGTTATAAAATAATGTATGTTTAATATTATTTGTATGCTTTAAAAAAGACAATGAACTTAAAATTCTTTAATTTAAATTTAAAATTATTCTCTTAATCTTGAAAATAACGTGTATTCGATTTGGACATTCTTTTTTCTTGTTTTCCTTGAAAGTTTTTTTTTTTTTTTTGATGGGTAAGATATATGAAATAAACATATATTAATTTTCCAAAAGGTGCGAAATAATGATACACACAGATTAATTAGATTATTATATACCTAACTTTTCCAGGATTTAGCTAATTTCGTTGGTATAGAGGTCCAACTGTATATTTTATTTTGCATTTAGACAACAGTATTTTCTCAGAAAATATTATAAAATAAATAACTTGTCAGACTATGTGTAAAATACAAATTACATAATTATTTCAATGAAATCTTTTTTTTTCTTCTGATATTTCTAATTTCGCCCTCCAAAAGGTCTAATCAAAAATTACTTCTTGTAGCATTATTTCTCAAGTAATTTTAAATAATATTTTGATTTACTGAAACTCCTTTCACCTGAAAACAGTGAAACAGGTCAGGTTAAAAAAATTTTTTTTTTTTAAAATTTTAATAACAAAATGACATCTTTTTTGACTATAATTTCTAATATTTAAATTTGGGTTTTTTTTTAATGGGAAATAATCCATGATAATGTTTTTCATTAAAGAGTTAGTTGTTCGCATATTTTTCACATTAATCCCTTCCTCCGTACCTGTTTTTTAAATTTTAAAAAGGGCCCGGGCTTATGAGATTCCATGCTGTAAAACCTTTCGAAAGCAGAATATTGAAAGCCCTTCAGATAAAAGTTAAATCTTTCATTTCTGAAGAAATATTTCTGATTTTTAAATTTTAAAAAAAAGAAATCTTTCACTATCCCTTTTCGTTATAAAAAAAACCAGCTTCCCACCTTGTTACCTTCATAGACGATTCATTTTTTTGTTTTAAAAAACCTATTGATTTGGAGAAGCAGAAAAATAATTATATACCTTTTTTTAAGTATAAAAAACAAGTAATATAATATAGAAATAAAAAAATTTTTAAATCAATTTCTTTTTAAAAAAAATAAAGAAAATTTTTATTATATATATATATATATATATATATCTGGGAAATTCCAATTTTTTCCCGTTTTAGCACTGTGGGTTTTTTAATTTTTCATTTTTATTTTATATATATATATATATATATATATATATATATATATATATATATATATATATATATATATATATATATATATATATATATATATATTTATATATATATATATATATATATTTATTTTTATATATTTATATATATATATATATTTTGTAGAATAATTACAATTATGACGTGGTGGGCCAAATGAAAAGGGGACAGAGGGGGAAAGGGGTTCTTTATAAGTCCACTAGTTATTAAAACACGTTTATTAGACAAAACAAACACATTTACTTTACATAACTAGAGAACTAACAGTTGACATAGAATTGAAAGGGATCGGAGCGCATGCTCATTACGTCCTTACAGTTCCGAAACTTGGCCATCACTGAAGATTGTTCTGTTCGCTAGAGGGCGCGAAAGTCTCTTTACTGTTAATATGGAAGAGTCTAAATAACGGGGGGTTACACAATTAATATAAATATCTATATACATATGACAGAATTACAATATAAAGGGCAATTAATTTCTATTATTTATTATATAAGTATCTATTGTCATCCAAAACAATCGTGTATATAAAATTTCTGTTCAACCTAATGCTTTAAAATGTGAGGAAAATAAAAATCTTTTAAAGTTTTGACCCAAGTCACTAAAGGTGAAGCCAATGTGACAGTGTCGGTAATTCTTTAAATAATTAGTTTCAGTCGATTAATTTTAATTAATTATAATTAAATTATCGTGTTACCCAAAAAAATTGTATATAGAAAATTTCAGCTCAATTGAGGGCCTTAAAAAGTGAGAAAAACCTTTCAAAGTTTTGACACAAATCCGTAAAATGGTCGCTAAGTAGCCAAAAATGATGCCAACATGGTTATATCTCTAATTCTTATAAAATTAGTTTTAATCAATTAATTTTCATTAATTATACATAAATTATAGTATTGTCATCCAAATCAAATGTGTATGTAAAATTTCAGCTCAATTGAGCGCTTTAAAATGCATTTCATTAAGGATTGAAAATTTGAAGAAGATAAATACACAGAGAGAGTGAGCTAATAGTAGGAATTGAAAAAGCCGGAATTTCTCGAATGGAACTGGAAGCTCTATAAACGACCCGATTTAATATATGAGTTGCACACGAAACATATGGAATAATACCTAGCATCCGTTAATGAAGCCCTATATTTTTATAAGCTTTTATTTAACTTGCAAAAGAAAATGTTCGGGTGGAATCTTGCAACCCCAATTTTGAAGTTTATGTCTTCAACCGATTGAGCTGAAATTTTGTATACACTTTTAGTTTGGATGACAATGCATGTTTTGATCATTTCTATTCCGATATCGTAATTAGTTAAAAAGATATTAATTAAAGTAATTTGTTCGAGTGGAATCTCTTGCAACTCAATTTTGAAGCTGATGTCTTCAACCGATTGAGCTGAAATTTTGTATACTCGTTTAGTTTGAATGACGTTGCCTGTTTTGATGATTTATATTCAAATATCGACCTAGTTACTGTAACGATCTTGTTCAGGTGTTAAGGCGAGAATGTTTGCAATAATAAAGGTGTGGACCGGGGGCGTAGCTCAGATGGTAGAGCGCTCTCTTAGCTTGCGAGAGGTAAGGGGATCAATACCCCGCCCCTCCAATAATTATTTTTTCGTGTAAAACATTTTTGAAATTCGTTTGATTCTTAAAACTAGATATTTTACAATGCTTCCACTCTGCATATGTACAAAATATTTTATACTTTTACTGTTCTAGGGGGAATACTAAGAAAGACAGATCTATCAAACTATTTCTATTTATTTTGAAACATTCTATGTTATTTATTTACTCGATTCTAGTTTCTCCCGTAATACTTTTAATTGACCTAGTTAATGTAACGATCTTGTTCAGGTGTTAAGGTGAGCATGTTTACAATTTAAAGGTGTGGACCGGGGTGTGGACCGGGGTGTGGCTCAGATGGTAGAGTGCTCGCTTAATATGAGAAAGGTACGGGGATCGATACCCGCGCCTACAATTATTATATTATCGTGTAAAATATTTTTTAAATTCGTTTGCTTTTTTCAACGAGATATTTTAAAATTTCCCTTGTATAGTACAAAGTATGTTGTTTTTTAAAAATTTTTTTTAAATTGAATGTAAATTTTGTTCGGGGGAATCTTGCAACTAAATTTGAAGCTAGATCTTAACCGTTGAGCTGAAATTTGATAAACAAAATCCGGCGTAAAACGCGCCTTTACCAAAAAAATAAGAGGGGAAATTTTTGGGTGCGGTTATACCCCGGGGCATAGTTTTAAAAAAATAAAAAATGAATAAAATAAAAAAAATTTTCTTCTATTTGTATCGAAATATTTTATTTAAAATAAAATATTTTTTATGAACAAAAAAGAGATGTAGTTCTTGAAGTATACTTTTTTTTTCAGAAATTTGGAAAAACCTCGAAAAAATTTAAAACAAAAGAGCAATGTATGCTAAGTTTCAGATTTCTTCAAAAGGGGGTGCGCTTAGGTGAATATAGAAAAATTTTAAAATGCAGCTTGAAAGTAGGGTGCGGTTATAACCGGTGCCGTTATAGGCTGGATTTTACTACATGCTTAGTTTGATGAAATGCATGTTTTGACCTTTTATACCCGATATCGCAGTTAGTTAAAAGACATTTTTGCAGGGGTTTTCTACTTTTAAAAATTTTCCCCTTTTCCTTAACAAAATTAGCACTTCTAATATTTTTTTTAAAAAATGTTTCCCACCGAATTCCCCCTCCGCTTAGCTCGGCGTTTCTCGAACTTTTAGAGTGTATAACTTATAATTCCCTGTTTCAAAATTTTTTCCTTTTTTTCTTTGTCAGACAGTTTTTTTTCCCCCGGCCACGAACTTTTTTAAATGAAACATATTGCAGGGAAAATTTCCCCCTTCCCTTCTCGCTATGAGAGCCCCAGAAAGTAAATTCACCGATTTAAAATTGAGGGGGTATAAAACAGGAAACCCAAAGCTTGTTTGAGGTGCTGAATTTTTTGGGGGGCTTTTTATTACGCCGTTTCAGTTTGAAAGGCGGGAATCATCTGATGTTGAAAGCTGGGTGGTCATTTGGCATAGTCCAAAGCCCGGGGCGGGAGTTTTTGTGGGGAGATTTTGGGGCCTGAGATCCGAGAATGTTTTTTACAAAAGCCAGGCTCAGGACATCCTCAAAGACCAGTCGTCGAGAAGACCCCCACATTTAGAAATGCCCGTGTACAAACTGCTTCATGAAAGCCCTCCAGGCGGTTGCTCCTTCAATAGGGAACCCTGGTTTCTCAAACATAGAAGGACCGGGCTGAAGGACATTTGGGATCGCCATCCATTACGTGATCTGCACTTGACACCCAAATGGATCCCCCCGTTTGTTCCCGGGAAAAAAATATTTTACAAGTAAAAAGTTAAAAAAAATATACATCAAGTATCAACTTTGCTTGATTGTAACTTTAAACCCGCCGAGACTTCTTTGCAAAATTCTTCCGACCACTTGTTGGAAAGAACATAAAATGAAACAATACAACGTTTTTTTTGGTCTGTTCCCACCACACCCCCGGACAAGGTGCACATGTTCGCCCTCTCTCATTCCTCGGCGCTGTGTCCTTTTTGTTACCTGTAGGGCTTAAGCTCCTCTTCAGTTATTCAGCTTGGTTGTCGTTGCTCCATTGGCCCTGGGGTTCCTGATCCTTTTCTGACGGGGCGCAGGTTGTACCCCCTTTTATCTTGAACCCAGTTGTTTCCATCCTTTTTTCTTCCAACTTATATAAAATACTGGATGACAATGGTTTTTTTTAATTTTTGGGTCTACGTTTCTGCTACTTTTTTTGTGGTCCACTTTATCCCCATCCATACGACCTTTTTATTCCTTTTTGAGCCGTTTCTTTTAGTTCTTGGCTTATTGAAAATGGCAGGTAGGGTCTGGGTAAGTGATCCGCGCTTATCGGCCCCCCTCCGTGTTTTTCACATTATTTTGACTTGAGATTTATCTCTTTTCCTCTAACTCACGCTTTACCGCAGACCCCTTTTTTTTTTTCCCATTACGACTAATTTGACTTTGGTCGTTTTGAAATACTCGTTTCCTGACGTAATAAATTCGGGGGCCTGTTCCCCTCGACCTCGTCACATTTCCAGACGATATATTCTTCTTTATCAACAAAAGGTTAACCTTTTTTCCGGTCCATATTACAATTTATTATTATTTTTTTTCCTAAATTATGGACCTTCAAATTTTTTTTGAATTTGGAAAATTTTATTAGCTGTGAACCAAAGGGGGGTCTCAAAAAGCCAGTCATCTACCTTAATTTGTACATCCCCTTTCGTATTTTAAAATCTTTCCCATCTTCATGCTTAGTTTTGTCTTGTCTAGCTTCATAAAATTTTTTATTTTCTAAATGGAATTCCGTTCATCTGAAATCTTACTAATTTTTGAAATGGGGGAATCAATTTCGACCCCAAAAAAAATTTCCCAGGGTTTTTCCCGGTTTCATTCACCGCCTACGAATAGCGTAAGAAACTCCCTAAAAATTGTCCCAAGTATCGTTTAACATTAAATAATTTGAATCATTTGACTAACCATTAAATCTTTTAACCCATTTGCTTGTGGCCTATATAAAGTCTTCCCTGCCTTATGCCTAATCTTTCACTTAAATGTTCTTTTTGATATAAATTTGGACCGTTATCACTTTTAATTTTTTTTGAGCATTATCAAAAAAAAAAAATCCGCTATTATACGAGCCAAGGATTTTTTTAAAATTTTAATTCAGCCCATTTTAAATATCGGTAAATTTCAAAACATATCGTTACCTCACCCCGAAAAGGATACGGGCCTAATAAATCTAACGTAACTATCTCATTTTTAAATTTTTAAATCGATTTAAACAACCCCCCTGGTAACGGTTTTTTATAATTATTAACTTGGCACATATTGGGATGTAGAGACATATTGATCAATAAATTTTCTTTAAAAGGGGAAAAAAAAAACGTCCCGGTTTTTTTTTATAAGTTTTAAATCTGCCTAGATGCCCTTGGGGTTGGTTTGTCGGAAATTCACGCAAATGTCGTTTCTTTAAAAATTTTTGGGAAAGTATAAAGCATTTTTACTAACGACGTTTGGTTTTTGCATAAAACAACAAGCCTTCAATTAGACGGAAGTCGCGGGACCAATTCTCACATATCGTCGCATTAACAGAGTTATCTTCCGGGTTTTCTAAATATCTATAGATATGACCTAATTCTGGGTCATTCTTTTGCTCTGTTATTAACTGTTCCCGCGAAGTAAGTACTAAATCTCTGATTATTGCACAATTAACTTTTTCTCCCATTATACTTTCAACAGGGTTTCGGGATAAAATGTCCGCCACCGCATTTTGAGTTCCAGGTCTATGTTCCCATTCTATATTAAATTCCGCTAATTTGAGTGCCCATCTGATCATCCTACTCGACAAATTTTTTCCATGCGTTAAACGTGTTAAAGCAGCGTGATCTGTAATAACTTTAATTAGAATCGCTCCTAAATATGTTCGGAATTGGTTCAACGCCCATACTACTGTCAGACATTCTCTTTCGGTTACCGTATAATTCCTCTCTGCCTTTTTCAGAGTACGTGAAGCAAATATAACTGGTCTTTGTTCCTGATTGAGCACTGCTCCCAACCCGATTGAACAGGCATCTGTAAATAATTCGAAGGGCTTTTGAAAGTCCGGCAATTTTAAAACTGGCGCCTTTGTTACGGCCGCCTTGACCGCTTCGAATGCCTTCTGCGCCTAAGTGGACCAGACGAATTTTTTTAATTTGTTTTAAGATTATAAAGGGGCTCACAAAGATCAGCATAATTTTTAATAAATTTCGCGTACCACTGGGACATACCCAAAAATTTGGACAACTCCTTTGAGTTCCGTGGGGGTTTCATCTCTAGTATGGCTCGAACCTTTGTCTCATCTGTTTTGATTCCTTTCTTACTAATAATTAATCCTATATACCTCAATTTATCTCACCCAAATTTACATCAATCTTTATTTAATGTCAATCCAGCATCTTGCAACAACGAAAAAACTTTCCGATGGAGATGTGATAATGACATTGTCCATATAGAAACTCACAAACTTCCCTATCACCGGTTTCAGGATTAGGTCAATTGCCTTTTGAAAATTGGGAACTGCCGATGATAAGCCTAATGTCATCCGCCGGAAAGCATAAGTTCCACTTTTTACTACGAATGCGGTCTTAACAATATCACGGGGGTTTACTGACATTTGAAAACCCTTCTTAGATCAAGAGATGACATTATTGTCGTATAGGATGTTCGTTATTAAATCATCTATTAACGGAAAAGGGTATCGCGATACTTTGTGATCGAATTTATTTTCCCTATAGTCTACCGCAAATCTATATCTTCCGGATTATCTGGTGGTAACCATTTTTCTTGCATAACACAACCGATGACGCGTCGGGATTGAATTGGAACAATCGTTTCTTCTCGTAACATTTTTGTATATGAAATCAATTATCGCTTGTTTTTTGCCGGTTCATATTTTGTACGGCCGGGAAACTACTGGCGGATTATTCCCCTGTATCAATTTCATGGTATTAAACATGAGGGACCTGGTTTTCGGGAGAATAATCCCTTAAAACTACTAAAAAAATTTTTTTGTAATTCCTGTTTTGTTTATCCTCCAATTTTGTCTTAGACAAATCTATTTCAACATTTTCCCTTCAACTGATTTAACCACCCTATCTATCTGCGAATCGGGAATCTTCAACGATTTTCGATCAAAGTCTAAAACAAACCTTGATCCACTTATAAAATCAACACCAAGAATACATGGGTATTCTCCAAATCCGTCGACACATGAAAAAACAAGTTTTCAAATTGCCGGATTTGAATAATCAATTCTACAATTGCTATATTCTGTGCTGTGATCACCTGAGCTCGCGATTTTTTTACTTTTTTATAAAAAAAAAATTTTTTATATTTTTCTTCCGATATAAATGATTTCTCTGCTCCGGTG